TGGGGGTCGCCAGCCGACACTGCTTGGCCGACGGCACCCTGAGGAGACCCACTCTGTGGGAGCGTACCGGTCTATGGGAGGGAATCTGTGGCAGAAGGCGGTCTCGGAGATAGCCAGGTCCAATGCCATGGAGCGCTTTAAAGGTGGTAACTAACACCTTAAAGCGCACCCGGAAGGCCACTGGCAACCAGTGCAGCTCCAAAGGAAGCTAGTGAGACTTGAAGGAGGCGACAAAGGGCTTGGGGAGTAAGTATATTTCCTTTTGGTAAGAGGAAGGATTTCTTTCTGTTTTAAAATACTAAGTAAACAAAGAACAGTGAATATGGTTCTTCTCTTTTTGCCCTGATGGTATTCAGTAGGCATAGCTTTAGTGACATATTCCAAGATTAGAATACTCCTACTTTTTCTTAGGGTTGTTCCTTAAACCTTAAACTGTTTCTACTTTGATGTTCTTCCTGATGAATATTTACCAGGTTTACATTTTGGAATTGTGGATTTATTTTTTTTCTTTATTGCATTTTGCATTCTGTTCAAAGTTGTGAGATCCCATCCAACCTGCTATCCAAAATGAAATATGATTGATGGAGCGTATTGTCCCATATTTCACTTTAAAATTAGTATCTATTTTTGTTGCAATTTCAATTTCTTTAAAAATGACACATTCTCCTTAAGGAAACAGCAAAGATTCTTGTGGATCTTCAATGACAAATGCATTTAGCAAAGTAAACCAATGTTTCTCAATCTTGACAACTTTAAGATGTGTAGATGCACATGGCTGGCTGGGGAATTCTGGGACTTGAAGTCTACACACCTCAAAGTTGCTAAGATTGAGAAACATTGATATAAATCTTTGCAGATTTTCATTTACATTATCAGGTGAATGAAATGTCAAACAAATATGTATTACAATGTTGGAGAAATATGTTGACTCTCATATGGCTGTGAATCAAATCAAGTGTGTATTTTTTTTAAAAAAGAATATGGTACAGAAAATTATAAGAAAGCAATATCTACCTGAACTTATAGTCACGAAAGGTCATCTGCTGGGCTTTAAGTTTAGAAAGTAGCAGTTTCAGAAGCTTCACGAAGATGCAGAAATTAACCTTAGGGGGAGAAAAACCACACATCTTAGTTGGTTTCTCCAAATACAATAAAGGTTTGTTTGTCTGAAAAATCATCTCTTACAGGGATTGCCTAAGGGCAAGACAACTGCAAGAAACACCCTTCAGACTGTTTTTAATAATTTTAATGTATAGAGACTCGGCTTTCAGGTATTTTCTATACAATGTTGTTGCTCTGTCCTGCTTGCTATTTTGAAAGCTCAAAGCTTACTAATAGTGATTGGTGGGGGGAAAGGAAAGGGGTAGTAGTGGACCAAAAGGAAGAGAAAAAGTCTGAGGTTTAGCACTAGTGGCTAAGTGGCCGCTACAAAAAATATATATATACAAAATATTCTTGAACATAAAGGATTTTTCAAGTGTTTATTGCCACAAAAACAATAAATAATGTTTGACTTATCTTACTAATTTAGAATTATGAAAGTAATTATTGGACACAGATCCCTCCTGGTAAGTTGCTGCTTGGCAACTCTGGGCTCCTGTTAAGGAGTAATTACACCTTTACTTTGAAACAATATATCATATTTTCAAGTATCTAGGGTCTTTTGAACTATATAACTGCTACATAAAAATTGATGGTGGACAACAGGAATTCTTCATGCCCTTGTTACATTGGAAAGGCAACTCTATATGAACTGAGGACCTGATGTTACTTATGACTTGTAATCAAGTTGTTTATAGATGTTGAACTCTAACCCACAGTTTGAAAGCTCTTGCTGTACCTCACTGATTTGAGTATTAATCCCAGCATACAGTAAAGATTTTCTCAATCTAGGGGTCCCAGCTAGATCGATTACAAGTCCCCATCATCTTTTTCCTTCTGCTATCACTGCAGCTCCTTGAATTCTGTAAATTATTTAAGGTGCATATTTTGTCTTAAAACAATATTGTATTGTATTACTATTCTGTACAATAGAATAGTAAGCAATTTTACAATGATCCTTACAACAATGGAGAATAATATGGGTCCTCGAATGATCCACCAGACATTCATGGTTTCATTTGTTGACCAGCATCTAGAAAACAAGTAAAATTTTATGTCATGTAATAACAAACAATAAACCACATTTGTTATTACCTTTTAAAAAACTGTATAATTCAACTTGGTGAATTATAGAATTGTATCCAAAAGCATATGAAAAGTTTTAAAAGCTTCAAGGAAGAGCAGCAGAGCTGCTGTTATATGCAGGATCTCTCATCCCTCCCCCGAGAACTTATGCTTTGTTCTCTGGGAAAGTAATCTATTGTATGGATAATACACTTTTTTCCCCACAGGGCCACCACAATTTAAAAGAAATTTAGCAATACAGCCTTCCTTTTGAGATTCCTACAGAACTTCTGAAATTGTACTCATTTATTCATTGGAGAGGGATGAACCTAGGATTCAGAAATTATTCTGAATCTCTGAAGTCTGATTCAGAATGTGATAGCTATCCATCATTCTTCTGATGAAAAGGAATATAATTTATGGACCAGAAGAGGAATAGCAAGAAGAGCAGGAATCAGGAAATTCTTAAGACTCACCTGCATGGAGTTCTTCAAACCATTCAAAACCCAGCAATGGACTAACCTCCCTTTCATGAGAATTGTTTGTGGCATAGAATTAAAAAGTGCCATCTAGATTTTTATGCCACTAGGCTTCACAAGGATGAGGATATAAATAAAGTTTATCTTTGGCCACTTTAGAGTCAAAACCTGGTCTCAGTTCTGTAACACTTTAGAAATCAATAGTTCTTGATATGAAACTACAGGGATACTACTTTTTTCCACAGTCAACATTAACAGTTCTTGATTTCTAACAAATAATCCACTGGAAGTTTTCAAGAAGAGATTGGACAATTGTTTGTCTGAAATGGTATAGGGTTTCCTGCCTGAGCAGGAGGTTGGATTAGAAAACCTCCAAGGTCCCCTCAAACTCTGTCATTCTGTTAAATCCAAATACTCCCCTCCCTTTTTTAGCCTTTAAAAAAAATATCTCTCCAATGGTCCTGGCTGAAGCAGACTATAACACAATTTCTTATTTATAATGAGAATAGAGATTGCTTATGGAGGATTGAGTGAAGAAGAATAATGATATATATTTTTTTAAAAAAATATTTGTTCTATTGGGTATTTCTTTAAGATCCCTTGAATGCCTACTTAGAAATAAGCCAAATTAACTGCAGTTGAGTCTACTTCCAGAAAGGAACAGTACAGAATTACCATCTTAATTTCTTAGAAAAGGACATAAGCAGACAATCTGGTTTCTCCAGATGATACTGAATTGCAATTCCCCACATTTTTCACCATAACCCATATTTCTATGGGATGTTGGGAGTTGTTCACAATATCTGGAGGGGCAAAGGTTGTCTATCCCTGGAGTCCAAAGTGGTTTAACATTACGAATGAATAGCCTAAGAGCTGTTGGTTACATCCTTCCCTTCCTTTAAAACACTTGGAAGAGTATATATCAAGCTCCCAGGACTGTTCCATTGAAACCAGGCCCACTCAATGTCTACAAGCATCCTTACCATTCACAAGAATTATCTTATCATATGGCGTTCCAGCCCAATTCTAAATATGGCCAAAGCCCAGCTAGTCTGCTGTTAGACTGGATAAATATGTATTGACTCTGATTTCAATGTCTTGCTATTTGTTTAGGACTATTCACAGCCTAAGATACCCTTGTATCAGTGTTCTATACATCGTTGCAATCTGATTTCTGTTCAGACATGATGAAATTTTCCATCCCTTCTTGACTTTCCTTCTTTTCTGTGCTTTTTCTCCTCTTTCAACCTGGAATAGTCCATAGAAGTGATTTTCTAGCTAGCATATTTTTAAAAGTTAAGATTATGCCCTTAATCAAAAATGGGGGATTAAAACATGTGTTTAGGAGGTTACAAAAAGTTTCCTTATTGCCTAGCAATGCAGAACAAATGATTGGTCATCTTTAGTCTAAACATTCTGGGGAAATAAACAAAAGGCTCCTTTTCCTATTGGCACAAAAAAGGCAAGCAAAGAAACAATGAAACCAGTTACAGGAACATTTAAGACAGAAACTTACTCTACTTGCTCCCAGTGGTATTTTATTATTGCCCAAGGAACTACAAACAAAACTGGAAAACCTGAAAGGAAAAACAGAGGTGAATATTATCGCAAGGCTTCATATGGTTTCTGGGGGTATCAAATCATTTGAGTTAAATGCTGTTCTTCTAGTTCAATTGGTTTACTATTGCCGTCTTCTAAATTTCACCCCCGAACCTCACAGTCTAATATATTCAATGTAACAAGGATAGCTGATATGTGAGGATTATCACTGATTATGTGAATAAAGGAAAGGCTAACGGCCTCAATTAATTTTGTTTTCCTCAGAGCTTATTCCTTGTAAAAATCTACTTTCTTCACTCAACGAATATGTTCATAGATATTTGTGTTCTGGTTTGTGCGTGTTTTGAAAATCTCTAAGCAAATAATGACAGCAGCAAACTCCAAGGACTGCATTTTTCTAATAATCTGATGCAAAAAAATCAAGAACAAGTTGACTGAAATCTTCTCAACAGCAGGAACAGGGGTAATAAACCCCTGTTTATTCAAATAGGTGAACAACCGGTTCTCTGTGTGGATGCTGCTTCCAGAAGTGAATGCTCCAACACTGGAAGTTTTTAAGAAGAGACTGGACAGCCATTTGTCTGTATAGGGTATAGGGTTTCCTGCCTGAGCAGGGGGTTGGACTAGATGACCTTCAAGGTCCCTTCCAACTTTATTATTATTATTATTATTATTATTATTATTATTATTATTATTATTATTATTATTATTATTATTATTATTATTATTATTATTATTATTATATAAGTCCATTCTGGGCCTGGGCAACAAAAAATTAGTTACTGGTTCTTCCAAAGTGGTGCGAACCGGCTGAATCCCACCACTAAATAAACCAAAGTTTAGTTTTGACCCATTCCATCTGAATAGCTGAACCAATCACAAAACTGACTGAAAGATATAAACCTACCAATTTATAAATCAAGTCCATCACCTTGGAAAAGTCCAAGCTTACCCCATCCAATGAAGATGTATCTCAGCAGCTGATGTTTCTCAAACAGCACAGTAGCTACTAATAACCTGTAGAGGTAAATTCCTTCCACTAAAAGCCAGAAAAAATTTGCTCCAACAACATAATGCATGAAAAGGGGAGCCATCCTGCATAAGGTTAGTTTCTGCAAAGAAGAGACAAAAAGAAGAGTTAATAACACTGTGCAGATCCCAATAAGGGATTAATTTATTTTGGCCTTGAGCTTATTGGCTGCAGGAATGCATGCTACTTACCTGGGGACAATATGATAGTAATTTACCCTTCATGCTCCAAGTCCATGGGGCAAAGAGTTGCTATTTTTAGCACGTCTATTGAAACCTCATTCAGAAGTTTAATGTTTTAACTTTGTTCCTCTTTCTTTCTCCCTTCTTTTAAACTGTCTTGCTTTGGGATATGGTATTTTAATTTATTGTGTTAGTTTTTCCGGGGATTCACAAAACAGTAGCCCATAAATATTTCAAACAGATAAAAACAAATTTAATGTGCTTCCTGACCTTGCATTTGTACATCAATTGTTGTTGCTTAAAAATTAGCCACTGGTTCTCACAGGTGGTAAACAAGGGATGAGCATCATTTAAGCACCATGAATGAATTTAGCCAGAAAATTTAGCCCTGCAACTTTTATTGCTACTGAATTTAGAAAAGGATCTATAGAAGAACAGACATCATTCTTGCAATCAGACATCATTTTTTGCTGCTTCAATTACTTAAAATTAACATTGAGAGTGCCTGCTGCAATACCTCTGGACTCAAGGAAGAAATCCATCCATTTTCATCAGCTGGCTTTTCTGACTCCGAAGAAAGAAATTCATAAGTACTGCGGGTTATGCCATCTTTTATTAGAACTCCTGCAGCTCGGAGGATGAATGAAGCAAAGAGATTCATATGGATGTAATTTCTTGTGCAATGCAGTTTCCTGAAGGGGAAGAAGAGAAGAGAAGAGAAGAGAAGAGAAGAGAAGAGAAGAGAAGAGAAGAGAAGAGAAGAGAAGAGAAGAGAAGAGAAGAGGGGAGGGGACAGGAGAGGAGAGGAGATGAGAGGAAGAAGAGGAGAGGAGAGGTTATAAGAATAACTAACCAAAGTTAGTTACAGTCTTAACTGAAGAGCAATATAGTATGTTCTTTTTGTGAAGTGACTGGGAAATTATATTCTTCTTTGGGGCTGCGGGTGGCCTGACCCTGAAGGGTTCACTGGACTGTTTGCTTAGCTAGTTATGTGGCAGGTAAAACTGCGTATGATGCTACACAGATGTCTTTGCTGAAAATGCAAATTCCTGCCATTTGACAGTGCTTCATTGAGTCCCAGCCAGCTTTTGCTGCATTTGGTGTAGGAGCTTTTATTCCCCCGATGTTGTGTCCTCCCAACATAATCATTTTTTCCCAGTTGCTGCACAAATTCACTTCTGTTCAAAAGTTCCATTACAAAGAATCCCATAGTACACCATTCCCTCCATATGATGATCAGCTCTTGAAAGGATGTACAGGTAGTCCTTGACTTGCAACACAGTTCGAAGTTACAACGGCACTGGAAAAAGTGACTCATGACCATATGATCATTGCGGCATCCCCCATGGTCATGTGATTTACATTTGGATGTTTGACAACTAGTTCATATTTATGACGGTTGCAGTGTCCTGGGTCATGTGATCACCTTTTGCCACCTTACCAGCTAAGTCAATGGGAAAGCCAGATTCACTTAACAACTGTGTTACTAATTCAGTGATTCACTGAACAAATGTGGAAAGAAAGGTCGTAAAATGGGGCAAAACTCACTTAACTATTGTCTTGTTTAGCAACAGAAAATTTGGGCTCATTTGCAGTCATATGTTGAGGACTATCTATACTCAGATGTTCATAATCCTGTCCCTGCCTGGCCAAACATTCTTCCATTGCATTCCTCTCTTGTATGCTCCCAATACAGCAGGGATTGTGAGTGTTCAAACATTTTAAAAGGGGGAAAAAATGAAATCATCATTTCAAAAAGCTCAGACTTTTTGGACTACTTGAGACCTCCTATCATAATATAATCACATTAATATTCCTGTGTTTGACAAGTGAAAGCTCTTATTTTCAACAAAACCAGATTCCAGAGGTCAATTAAGACAAATTAATGCACTGTGTGGTGGAAGAGTCCTTGTAGACTGGAATAGTTCAACTATAATTTGCTAGACAGTCAGTGACTTTGTTGTGCATCTCCTTCATGTCCTCAGAGCCTGCGTTATCTTATGAACAACTAGAATAATTGTTGATTTAAAACAAAAGAATTTTTATTTGTAAGATGTTTCTGCCATTGTTTATGTACTGGAAAATGTTCTTCTAGTCTCAACAGAGCAAATGAAAAGATAGCTGTTTAGCTGAGCGTATAATAATGTTGATGATTGCGATCAAGAGTGTCAATGTAGCAGTATTTTAAAATTCTAATTCTTTTTTTTTTTTTTTAAGAAATGCATGTAGCTATATAAAGTTGTGCAGGACTGAGCAAAAACAGAGCAACAAGTGTTGCAGCTGGAATCAAAGTCATCGCCCCTCACCTGTCACCACCCTCATTCCAAAATTTCATAAGAGTGCAGTAATATTAAACATTAATTTGTACCTTGGTTCTGGATCTTTTCATGTTAAGATTAGCCCAACTCAGAGGAAAAAATTGACACAATGAAACTGAAGCCTGGTCTAGTACTAAAAGTTAATGTAATGCTAAATACTAAAAAAAGGAGATTTTTAGATTTTTGTGAAAATATCCTTATGTAACCTTCATATTATAAAATCCAACTATGTAGATTTTAATCTGAGAATATGTAGATTTTAATCTGAGAATATGTAGATTTTAATCTGAGAATATTATTTCCGTACCCATGACATGTTTACAATCAATAGCTATGATTTCTATAAGTAATACTTACATGTCACTGAAAAAGGAAATTGTGTAAAAGAAAACAAAACTCAGAAATTAGGCAATAGTCTGGGATGAAGGTTAATAAGTTTGCCTAATTAGAACTCAAGGGGAATTATGTTGATTACAAATGATCCACAAGGAATTGGCATATTTTGAAAAGCATCAGTGAAACAGATACAACCAAATGTGCATAAATTGTAGATCATATAAAGTTCATCTTGCTTCTGCATATTAGAAGAAGTCTCCTTATTTGTCCGCTATCTAACCACGGATCGTAAACAATCATTACAAGACAGCCCACTTCCTTCCAAATACTTGGCCTTTTTAGTTGAAATGATTGCTGTCATCTTCATGAATTATATAGGCATGTTTATATAATAAACTTTGGAATAAATTATAGTTTTCACAAAAACTTTGAAATTATTAAAAAAAAAAGCCCCAACCCTCACACAACATTGAAGAACAGAGCAAAGTACAAAGTACTCAGAAATAAACATTGGAGAAAAGTAGAAGATTCAGTTCCATGGCATATTTTTATTAAACCACACCTGCACAAAGTTGTCTCATATGTGAGCCAGTTTGGCATAATGATTAAAGGCACAAGGCTAGAAACATGGAAACCATGAATTCTAGTCTTGTCTTAGGCACAAAGCCAGCTGCATGACCTTGGGCCAGTTTCTCTCTTCCAGATCCTGGAAAAAGGCAAGAGCAAACTACTTCCGAAATACCGCAAAGAAAACTGCGGGGACATTTCTAGGCTCAAAGGTATCAAAACAAACCAATCCCCATAGGGAACTATTAAGATTCTTCTTATTTCTCCTCTTCTTTCTGTTCCTATTCTCCAGTCTATACACTTCGTTACATTAAGTGGCCTCTCATTAAAATATTTGCTACAACTTTAGCTTGTATCATTTTATTAATGTAACTTATTAAGGTGCCTATTACTGTACTTCCACATGGTTCATTACTGATATGATGTAGCGTACTTCAAACACAACATGAATCCTGAGGTTTTGATAGCTTTGTGAAACCTACTCAACACGTTACTGTAATATTTAGCACAGTCAAAGTTCATTTTTTTAAAAAAGAATAATGTTCTTGCCATCAAGTAAGCATATTAAAACTTTTAGGCAAACTTCTGCTGGTTATTCTACTTTCTCAGGCTCAGTAGCTGATGTATTTCATTGCTTTTATGTGTGAACATAAAGTCATACAATGTGAATTACAATGGAGCTGAACCAAGTACACGAGGGTCAGGATGTTTTATAATTCTGTTCAGTCAAAATGATTTGAGAGAGTTTGGATTCTCTCCCCTCCCTTCCTCTCTTTACAATCTGTACTGTCCTATTCTTGGTAGTAAAATTTTAATTGTAATTTAGGAATCCTATTGTTCCATTTACATATGGATTTTACTAACAATCTTCCCTCTTGCGGTAAGCTTGTTCACTTGCATTTAAAATGTCTGTTTGAATAACTGGTAACTAAGCTTAGCTCGGTAAGACTATTCCATTCTAGCTCATTAAGCCTGAAAAATATGTGGGGCTGGCTTGGTAGTAAATAGGTGTTTACAGTAATAGCAATAGCCCTTAGACTTATACAGCGCCCCATAGAGCTTTAGCACATTCTCTGGATGGTTTACAATGTTAGCGTATTGCCCTCAACAATCTGGATCCTCATTTCACCAGCCTTGGAAGGCTGAGTCAACTTTGAGCCCCAACAGGATCAAACTCCAGGCTTAGCCTGCAATACTGCATTCTAACCACTGCACCACCAGGGTAAATAAACAAACAAACAAATAAATAAATAAATAATTGAATGCTATGATTCATCAGCAGTGATTTCTTTTAATTTCAATGTTGATTTCCTATGGCTGATATTTCTAAACTAGTCACAATTGTCACAGACTTACCTGAGGAAGGATGATTTAATTCTGATGTAAATACTTTAGGCCAAAACATTTTTGGGTGATAGGATAAATATGCCGGGATAAGATACATTTCAAATATTTTCAATATTTGATATGTTATTGACAGTCATCAAAAACAATTATTTTACTAAGGCATGAGATATGAAAAACACTTTTTTCATTGTTCAAGTAGTCTATAATTTTGTGATTCATGCCTCAGACACTTTCCAAATTCCTTCTGAAAGGTTCCCTCATCTATTTTTTCTTTGTTAATATCTAATTTGGCCCTTGTAGAAAGACATTTTTTAGCTCTTTGTATATTTCATAGTCAGTGATCAAGGGAAATCCTTTGGGAAGGTCTGACATCATCTCCTTCTCTGTTCTAACATATGCCACAACAAGGTGATGCATAAATCAAATAAATAAAATATTCTAATGAATAGTTTAAACAGACCATATTCTACTGAAAAAAAAAAGTTATACTGACCTAAAAAACAGCAGTATGAAGAGTGCTAAGACAAGGGAAACAAGAGAAATAGAATATCCCACAGTAGAAAGTTTTTCAAGCACCATAAACAATGTAAGGTCTTCTGCCTGGAAACAACAAAGAAACAACATAGTTAATGTAGTCAACTTTCCTGGAGGGGGATAGACCCATAAATGTCAGATATATGTGCTTAGTTCCCAAAACAGCTAGTGCTATGTTGACACATAAACTTTTAGGCATCCCTGATAAAACTACATGAGTGAGAACCCTGGTCATCCATCCATCCATCCATCCATCCATCCATCCATCCATCCATTTACCAAAATTCTTAACTTTCAAGCTCCCTCATAGAGGGAGTACAGTAATTCACATGACTATAATTCACTCTACATGGTGCCCTTTCCTTGAAGATCACTCAAAAATTTCAGCTGCAATACCTCTGGTTTATTACCCTTATTGTAAATCACTTTGAGTCCATTTCCATTTCATTCTCTACCCCTCTATCTTTTTTAACTCTTGGGGCTTTTCTCCTAACAGGATTTTTTTTTTTTTTTTAAAAGAAGGTAATCAGAGGTATCATATTAAGAAACAAATCTGATCATCTGATGGTACAAACAAGCAGGTAACCGCCCACTTCCTGCCATATTTATTATCTTAGAGAAACACTTAGAAGCCAGTAACTGAAACAGAATGCAATATTTGATTATTGCTTCTCCAATGACAGCTGCTTATGTGCTCCAAAGTGACAGGCCAGAGGAAACTCAAAAACAGGAGTTTAATCAATTAAATCAATTAAGCTTTATGAGGGCCAAAACCATTACAAACATAAATTAAAACAACCCAAGTATAATCCAAAAAAATATAATAACATGTTAATAGTTTAACGCATAGTGTGCTTCTATTAAAAAAACTGGATAGGATACAGTTTTATGGCTAAGGCACAAAACTTTAGGAGGCCATTCAAGGGCAAATTAATTGAAAATGCAGTTGCACATATAATGTATGTTGTACAAAAACATGTCCTGGAGTTTCAGGTTCACCAGAGGAATGAGGACATTGTTTAAGCACTAGAGGGATTCCATTATATCTGCTATTTATAACTGCAGTGGAGAAGGCATTAAAACGTGGTGTGCAAAAAAAAATCTGTAATGGGTGTCAGTAAGAACCTCACCTCTCTCTCTCCACATCACTCTCCCCCCTCTCTCTTTCTCTCTCTCACTCTCTCTTTTTCCCACCCCCCCTCTCTCTTTCTCTCTCTCACTCATTCTCCCTCCCCATCTCTCTTTCTCTTTCTCTCTCTCTCTTTATCCCTCCCCATCTCTCTTTCTCTTTCTCTCTCTTTGTCTCTCTTTCTCTTTCTCTTTCTCACTCACTCTCTCTCTCTCTCTCTCACTCTTTCTCCCTCCCCCTCTCTCTTTCCCTTTCTCTCTCTCACTTTTTCTCCCTCCCCCCTCTCTCTCACTCTCTCTATCTTTCTCTCTCTCTTTCTCTCTCACTCACTCTTTCTCACTCATTCTCTTTCTCTCTCTCACTCTCACTCTCTTTCTTTCTCTCTCTCTTTCTCCTGCTCTCTTTCTCCCTCTTTCTTTCTCTCTCTCCCTCCCTCCCTCTCTTTCGCTTTCTATCTTTCCCTCTCTCTTTCTCTTTCTCTCTCACTCTCCCTTTCTCTCTCTCTTTCTCTCTCTCTCCCTCTTTCTACATCCCCCTCTCTCTTTCTTTCTCTCTCTCACTCTCTCTTTCTCCCTCCCCCTCTCTCTTTCTCTTTCTGACTCTCCCTCTATCTCCCTCTCTCTTTCTCTCTCTCTCTCTCTCTCTCGCTTTCTCTCTCTCACTCTCCCTCTCTCTTTCTCTCTCTCTTTCTCCCTCTCTCTTTCTCCCTCCCTCCCTCCCTCTCTCTCTCTTTCTCTTTCTCACTTTCCCTCTCTCTCTCTTTCTTTTTCTCTCTCTTTTTCTCTCTTTCTCTCTTTCTCTCTCTCTCTTTCTCTTTCTCTCTCTTTCTCTCTTTCTCT